ATGTTTCGTTGCTCATAAAGAGACAAAAAGGTGAATCGTTTTGTACCATGGCTACCTCAGATAAGAACAGTGGTGCATCTAGGATTTTTCTAAGTAAGGGGCCATCAAGGGGCCAGAATATTCAGAGGGGTCAAGTATTTGTTCGGCATCCTTGCACACAAATCCCTGGTTTTGGTAAGGTGTGTATATTTAACCAGTCACACATTTAAACACTTGTAATTTTAAAAAAGCTTGCACAGTAAATTATACTTACCAATTTTCCATGCATTTTTACAGCACATGGATAAAATACTCTCAAACAAACAGCAAGGGAGAGAATCCAGCCATTATTTGTGAGTTGAAAGACTTTTTCTGCAGGGTTGTTCAAATTTTAAGAAGAGAAAAAAAACTTCTGTCCTCTTGATTCATGCTGGACTTTTCTATATGTCTCGATAGCGCCTCTAGTGTTTGGACATGGAACTGCATCCAGCATCATCACTCTTGGGCAAAAGACATATGAGTGACAGGACAGGGGCACTAAAGGGAGCCAGTCAAATTTCAGCAGGGGCCAATGCCCCTGTGGCCCCACCCCAGATAAGAAAGCCGAGAAAACACAAAAACTGTCAACTAATTTATGACTGAAATCTATCAATTTACAGCAAATACTCCGAAGTCTCTTCACATTAAATGCTACTCACCAATGTCTTTGTGTTAGCAAAATATCTCGAGCCTTTGGATTAAAAAAAAAACTCAGAAAGTAATTATTTTTCATCCAGTCTGAAGTCAACTCAATTCAAGATGGCCGCCTCAGGTGATCGACTTTATCAAACACATAAATGATTATAATTCAGACAATTTTAGATATGCTAACTGCACGTGTTATGTCATTATTTCATATAGATCATAGTGTTATTTATAGTTTGACTAAAACAACTAAACTCAGTCATTTTTCTTTATATAGTAAAACTGCAGCATGAGAGGCGGCGGGTGGCGTGCATTCCTTCAAAATGTGCTGGGACTTTAAAATGAAGTTAGTGCCTTTTCGTTGGAATCCAACACGTAAACTAAAAACGAGAAAAAAATATTGACGCTCCTACAGTTCAAATTCAATAGAAATAGTCAACAAGACACCAAAGTGGAATGTTTTAAAATAATTTATTAGGAATTTTAAAAAGTTGTTTTTTTCCCCTCATAGGAATAACATGTCAGAAAAAAAATCAGAAAACGTTACAGTGTTGACAAGAATGTTATTTTTTCAGTGAATGAAAGTCTAAAATACCCACAGCAGTGAGAGTGTATCAAAAACCTGTTCTTTTTTTGTTTGTTTGTTTTTTTGTAGATCTAGAGTGCTTTGTTCTTCAGCTAACTTCATAAGAAAAATAAATTTTTCATGATCGGCCAGTGCAACGTCCAAGTAGTTCTTGATTTGGTCTACAAAAAAGGTGTCACCTTGCTACAGACTGTGACCTCCAGTGGATGTGAGAGATGGACAGAGCCGCCGTCTTCTTTTAATCCACCCCCCACTTTGACATAAATGTTAATAAGAAAGTCAGATTAATAATTCACATTTTGAAACTGAGGATCCCCTCCCCAAAACAAAACACATAAAACAGCATATGGCACATTGGAAACCAATGTGTATAAAAACTTGCAAAGATCAACACAACCTGCAGAGGACTCCTGCATCCTTCATTTTCCTTCATAATCATCAGATATTAAAAAAATCAAACATGATAAAGTAAGAAAACAGCATGTTTCCTCCTCTCCTGACAGAGGAGCGTTTTCACACCCTTTTCTCTCAAAAGTATTGAAGCTCCGGTCTCGGCCTCTCTCCGCTCGAAGCGTCTCGCCTCCGAGGACCGAGGTGATTTACAAAAGCCCGGAGAGAGATACAGCAGGTCGCGCACAGACTGAAATGTTCTTGACCTCCAGGTGGGAGCACAACGCGTAACGGCCGAGCTTCTCCCCAACACTGACAACAGAAACAATCGTACCACTTCTCAGAACGCCTCCCCGCCTCCTGGGCACAGAAATCAGCAGAGCCCTGCCACCTGCAAACCCCTCATATTTACAGTATTTTACAACATTTTACAGATCAAGACTAATTATGCAAGTGTCACTAATGACTTTTTTGTTATTAGTGTAACGACTCATTGTTAAATCCTACTAAGATATACAAATTGTGGCATATTTTCAAGAATTAGCTTTTTTTTTTGTTGTTCTTTTCCCAGCAGGTGAAAAATCAGTAAGAAATCGAGACAAATGTACAGTTTTTTGTTCAGTCATTTTACAGCTTCAAAGACCTTCAAAGAGGCGTCACTCCTCTTATCTCAGAGAGATCAGGTTAGAGGACAAACAACTCGATAAAACACAGCTAAATAAAAACAAACAAACAAAAGAAAATGATGTAACGCAGCCACAGTGAAGTAAAACAGAAAAAGACAGCAGTTGAATGTGTTGGGATTACAGTGATGAGCCTTTGCGCTCCTTTTCCAAATTATTATTTTTTTACGTTTCCTTACGACGAGGTGGAGTTTAGTGAGGTGTCAGTGGGGTGGGCTGGATGTGGCTGACACCAGGGTGGGTG